TGGGTCACCTGGTGGTCAGTTCGTGGTCAGTTGGGTCATCTGGGTCACCTGGTGGTCATTTGGGTCACCTGGGTCACCTGGTGGTCAGCTCGTGGTCAGTTGGGTCACCTGGTGGTCAGTTCGTGGTCACCTGGGTCATCTGGGTCACCTGGTGGTCAGTTCATGGACATCTGGGTCACCTGGTGGTCAGTTCGTGGTCACCTTGGTCACCTTGGTCATTTGGGGCTGGCTCGTGGTCAGTTGGGTCACCTGGGTCACCTGGTGGTCAGTTCATGGTCAGTTCATGGTCAGTTGGGTCACCTGGTGGTCAGTTCATGGTCATTTGGGTCACCTGGGGCACCTGGTGATCAGTTTGTGATCACCTTGGTCATTTGTGGTTGGCTCATGGTCAGTTGGCTCACCTGGTGGTCAGTTCATGGTCAGTTTGTGGTCACCTGAGTCACCTTGGTCATTTGGGGTTGGCTCATGGTCAGTTGAGTCACCTTGGTCACCTGGTGGTCAGTTCATGGTTAGTTGGGTCACCTGGGTCACCTGGCAGTCAGTTCATGGTCACCTTGGTCACCTTGGTCATTTGGGGTTGGCTCATGGTCAGTTGGGTCACCTGATGGTCAGTTCATGGTCAGTTGGGTCATCTAGGTCACCTAGGGTCAGCTCCTGGTCACCTGGTGGGCAGTTCATGGTCAGTTGGGTCACCTGGGTCACCTGGTGGTCAGTTCGTGGTCACCTGGGTCACCTGGGTCACCTGGTGGTCAGTTCATGGTCAGTTCATGGTCACCTGGGTCACCTGGTGGTCAGTTCATGGTCATTTGGGTCACCTTGGTCACCTGGTGGTCAGTTCATGGTCATTTGGGTCACCTTGGTCACCTGGTGGTCAGCTCGTGGTCACTCGAGGTCAGGAAGGGGCATCAGTGGAGAGCGTTGTTTGAGGGAGCTTCAAAAAATGACGTGGAGACCCCAAAAAACACCTGGAGACCCCAAAAGAACCACCTGGAGATTTCTGTGGAGAAGGTTCCTTGAGGAACCTCTGGGAACCGCCTGGGAAACCCCAAAAAAAACACCCTGAGATCCCAAAAAAACACACGGAAACACCAAAAACCGCCTGGAGACCCCAAAAAAACCATCTGGAAACCCCCCAAAAAACACCTGGAGACCCCAAAAAAACCACCTGGAAACCTCAAAAAATCACCTTGAGACCCCCTTGGAGAAGGTTCCTTGAGGAACCATCTGGAAAATCCCCAAAAACCACCTGGAAACCCCAAAAACCACCTGGAGATCCCAAAAAAGCCACCTGGAAACCCCAAAAAAAACACCCAGAGACCCCCAAAAACCACCTGGAGACCCCAAAAAAACCACCTGGAAACCCCAAAAAAACCACCTGGAGACCCCAAAAAAACCACCTGGAAACCCCAAAAAAACCACCTGGAGACCCCAAAAAATCCACCTGGAGACCCCCGGGGTGGCCCCTTGGAGACCCCCAGGTTGTCCCCAGGTTGTCCCCAACCCCCGTTTGTCCCCCCCAGGCTACGTCGGGGCCGCCACGGTGGGAGCGGCCGCCTGGTGGTTCCTCTTCGCCGAGGATGGACCCAACGTCACCTACCACCAGCTGGTGAGTCCCCAAGGTGTCCCCCTGGAAACCCCAAAAAAAACCACCTGGAAACCCCAAAAAAACACCTAGAGACCCCAAAAAACCACCTGGAAACCCCAAAAAAACCACCTGGAGACCCCAAAAAAACCACCTGGAGACCCCAAAAAGTCACCTGGAGACCCCCAAAAAACTACCTGGAAACCCCAAAAAATCCACCTGGAGACCCCCGGGGTGGCCCCTTGGAGACCCCCAGGTTGTCCCCAGGTTGTCCCCAACCCCCGTTTGTCCCCCCCAGGCTACGTCGGGGCCGCCACGGTGGGAGCGGCCGCCTGGTGGTTCCTCTTCGCCGAGGATGGACCCAACGTCACCTACCACCAGCTGGTGAGTCCCCAAGGTGTCCCCAAGGTGTCCCCGAGGTGTCCCCAAGGTGTCCCCAAGGTGTCCCCACCCTGTGACCACCCCCAGCCCCAATTCAGGTCCATCATGGAGGTCCCACCACCACCAAGAAGGTTCCTCATGGTGTCCCCCAGCTCCCAAATGTCCCTTCCTGGATGTCCCCAAGGTGTCCCCAAGGTGTCCCCGAGCTGGTGACCCTGAGGTGACTCCGATGTCCCCAATGTCCCCCCAGACCCACTTCATGCAGTGCTCGGAGCACAACGTGGAGTTCGAGGGGCTGGACTGCGACATCTTCGAGTCGCCGGTGCCGATGACGATGGCGCTGTCGGTGCTGGTGACCATCGAGATGTGCAACGCCCTCAACAGGTGAGGGACGTGTGGCCGTGGTCATTGTCACCGTGGTCATTGTCACCGTGGTCACCTTGGTCATTGTCACTGTGGTCATTGTCACCATGGTCATTGTCATGGTCATTGTCATGGTCATCATGGTGACCATGGAGATGCCCAACGCCCTCAACAGGTGAGGGACGCGTGGCCATGGTCATTGTCACGGTGGTCATTGTCACCATGGTCACCTTGGTCATTGTCACTGTGGTCATTGTCACCATGGTCATTGTCATGGTCATTGTCATGGTCATCATGGTCATGGTCATGGTCATCATGGTGACCATCGAGATGTGCAATGCCCTCAACAGGTGAGGCACATGTCGCCATGGTCATTGTCACCGTGGTCATCTTGGTCATTGTCACCTTGGTCATTGTCATGGTTGTGGTCCTGGTCATCGTCATTGTCATGGTCATGGTCATCATGGTGACCATGGAGATGTCCAACGCCCTCAACAGGTGAGGGATATGTCGCCATGGTCATTGTCACCGTGTCGCCTTGGTCATTGTCACCTTGGTCATTGTCATGGTTGTGGTCCTGGTCATCGTCATTGTCATGGTCATGGTCATGGTCATCATGGTGACCATGGAGATGTCCAACGCCCTCAACAGGTGAGGGACATGTCACCGTGGTCATTGTCACCGTGGTCATTGTCACTGTGGCCACCTTGGTCATTGTCACCTTGGTCATTGTCATGGTCGTGGTCCTGGTTGTTGTCATGGTCATGGTCATGGTCATCATGGTGACCATGGAGATGTCCAGCGCCCTCAACAGGTGAGGGACATTGTCACCTTTGTCATTGTCACCTTGGTCATTGTCACCATGGTCATTGTCACCTTTGGCATGGTCATCGTGGTCATCATGGTCATGGTCACCATGGTGACCATGGAGACGTCCAACGCCCTCGACAGATGACAACATTGTCACCATTGTCACCATCACTGTGCCCCCAATCTCTGGTGACCCCCTCAATGTCCCTGATGTCCCCATGACCCCCTGGTCACCCCGACGTCCCCATGGTCACCCCGATGTCCCCGATGTCCCCAGCCTGTCCGAGAACCAGTCGCTGGCCCGGATGCCGCCGTGGGTGAACATCTGGCTGATGGGCTCCATCTGCCTCTCCATGTCCCTGCACTTCGTCATCCTCTACATCGACCCCCTGCCCGTAAGGGGACACCGCGGGGGTGGCCTTGGGGACGTCGGGGTGGTGGTCGTGGGCTTGGTGGTCATTGGGGACATTGGGGTGGTGGTCATTGGGTGGTGGCCTTGGGGACATCAAGATGGTGGTCATGGGGTTGGTGGCCATTGGGTGGTGGCCTTGGGGATGCTGGGTTGGTGGTCAAGGGGTTGGTGGCCATTGGGTTGGTGGCCTTGGGGTCATCAAGATGGTGGTCATGGGGTTGGTGGCCATTGGGTGGTGGCCTTGGGGATGCTGGGTTGATGGTCATTGGGTGGTGGCCTTGGGGACATTGGGGTGGTGGTCATGGGGTTGGTGGTCATAGGGCTGGTGGCCTTGGGGATATCAAGATGGTGGTCATGGTGTTGGTGGCCATTGGGGTGGTGGTCATGGGGTTGGTGGCCATTGGGTTGGTGGCCTTGGGGACATCAAGATGGTGGTCATGGGGTTGGTGGCCATTGGGTGGTGGCCTTGGGGATGCTGGGTTGATGGTCATTGGGTGGTGGCCTTGGGGACATTGGGGTGGTGGTCATGGGGTTGGTGGTCATAGGGCTGGTGGTCATTGGGGTGGTGGCCTTGGGGACATTGGGGTGGTGGTCATGGGGGTGGTGGCCATTGGGTGGTGGCCATTGGGTGGTGGTCATTGGGGTGGTGGCCTTGGGGACATTGGGGTGGTGGTCATGGGCTTGGTGTTCATTGGGTGGTAGTCACTGGGTAGTGGCCTTGGGGACATCAAGATGGTGGTCATGGGGTTGGTGGCCATTGGGTTGGTGGCCATTGAGCTGGTGGCCTCGGGGACATTGAGTTGGTGGTCATCAAGCTGGTGGTCATTGGGTTGGTGGCCTCAGGGACGTTGGGTTGGTGGTCAGTGGCTTGGTGATCATCAAGCTGGTGGTCATCAGGGTCGTGGCCATCAAGATGGTGGCCTTGAGGACATTGGGGTGGTGGTCATTGGGTTGGGGGTCATCAAGCTGGTGGTCATCAGGGTCGGGGCCATCAAGATGGTGGCCTTGAGGGCATTGGGGTGGTGGTCATTGGGTTGGGGGTCATCAAGCTGGTGGTCATTGGGTGGTGGCCTTGGGGACATTGAGTTGGTGGCCATCAAGCTAGCGGCCATCACCTTGGTGGCCTTGGGGACATCAGACTGATGACCACCAACATGGCCACCGTTGACCTTGAGTGACCGCTGGGTTCGATGACCACTGGTTGAGTTCGATGACCACAGGTGGGCTCTGCTGACCACGGCCGGGCTCTGGTGGCCGCAGGGGTCACTTTGGTGGCCACGGCCCCCGTGTCGACCACGAGCATTGACCTTGGCCTTGATGACCCCCGGCTTGAGTGACCGCTGGGTTCGATGCCCACTGGCTTGAGTGACCGCTGGGGTCAATGATCACTGGCTTGAGTGACCGCTGGGGTCAATGATCACTGGCTTGAGTGACCGCTGGGGTCAATGATCACTGGCTTGAGTGACCGCTGGGGTCAATGATCACTGGCTTGAGTGACCGCTGGGGTCAATGATCACTGGCTTGAGTGACCGCTGGGGTCAATGATCACTGGCTTGAGTGACCGCTGGGGTCAATGATCACTGGCTTGAGTGACCGCTGGGGTCAATGATCACTGGCTTGAGTGACCGCTGGGGTCAATGATCACTGGCTTGAGTGACCGCTGGGGTCAATGATCACTGGCTTGAGTGACCGCTGGGGTCAATGATCACTGGCTTGAGTGACCGCTGGGGTCAATGATCACTGGCTTGAGTGACCGCTGGGGTCAATGATCACTGGCTTGAGTGACCGCTGGGGTCAATGATCACTGGCTTGAGTGACCGCTGGGGTCAATGATCACTGGCTTGAGTGACCGCTGGGGTCAATGATCACTGGCTTGAGTGACCGCTGGGGTCAATGATCACTGGCTTGAGTGACCGCTGGGGTCAATGATCACTGGCTTGAGTGACCGCTGGGGTCAATGATCACTGGCTTGAGTGACCGCTGGGGTCAATGATCACTGGCTTGAGTGACCGCTGGGGTCAATGATCACTGGCTTGAGTGACCGCTGGGTTCGATGACCACGGGCGGGCTCTGCTGACCACGGGTGGGCTCTGGTGGCCCCGGCGGTGGCCCTGGTGGCCCGTGAGGAGGTCCCAGCCGTGTCCCCCGATGTCCCCAGATGATCTTCAAGCTGACGCCGCTGTCGCTGACCCATTGGCTGATGGTCATCAAGATCTCCTTCCCGGTCATCCTGCTGGACGAGGCCCTCAAGTTCATCGCCAGGAACTACCTGGAGGGTGAGGAGGTGGCCCCACCCCACCGGGGTGTCCCCGTGTCCCCCCCCGACCCCCCTCGGGGTTGTCCCCACCCTCTGTGGTCACCTCCATCGTGTCCAGGTGACCTTGGCCATCTCCACTGTCCCCTGGTCACCTTCATGGTCCTTGGTCACCTCCATGGTCACCCCCTGGTCACCTTCATGGTCACCTCGCTGTCCCCTTGACCATCTCATGGTCACCTCCTGGTCACCCCCTGGTCATCTCCATGGTCACCTCTGTGGTCACCTCCTTGTCCCCTTGACCATCTCTAGGTGACCATGGTCACTCCCTGTCCCCTTGACCATCTCCTGGTCACTCTGTGGTCACCTTGTGGTCACCTCCATGGTCACTCCATGGTCCATGGTCCCTTCCCTGTCCCCTCAGCCATCTCCTGGTCACTCCATGGTCACTCCCTGTCCCCTTGGCCATCTCTGTGTCCCCCTGGTCACTCCCTGTCCCCTCCTTGTCCCCGTGGTCACTCCCTGGTCACTCCCTGGCCACTCCATGGTCACTCCCTGTCCCCTCCCTGTCCCCGTGGTCACTCCCTGGTCACTCCCTGGCCACTCCATGGTCACTCCCTGTCCCCTCCCTGTCCCCGTGGTCACTCCCTGGTCACTCCCTGGCCACTCCATGGTCACTCCCTGTCCCCTCCCTGTCCCCGTGGTCACTCCCTGGTCACTCCCTGGCCACTCCATGGTCACTCCCTGTCCCCTCCCTGTCCCCGTGGTCACTCCCTGGTCACTCCCTGGCCACTCCATGGTCACTCCCTGTCCCCTCCCTGTCCCCGTGGTCACTCCCTGGTCACTCCCTGGCCACTCCATGGTCACTCCCTGTCCCCTCCCTGTCCCCGTGGTCACTCCCTGGTCACTCCCTGGCCACTCCATGGTCACTCCCTGTCCCCTCCCTGTCCCCGTGGTCACTCCCTGGTCACTCCCTGGCCACTCCATGGTCACTCCCTGTCCCCTCCCTGTCCCCGTGGTCACTCCCTGGTCACTCCCTGGCCACTCCATGGTCACTCCCTGTCCCCTCCCTGTCCCCGTGGTCACTCCCTGGTCACTCCCTGGCCACTCCATGGTCACTCCCTGTCCCCTCCCTGTCCCCGTGGTCACTCCCTGGTCACTCCCTGGCCACTCCATGGTCACTCCCTGTCCCCTCCCTGTCCCCGTGGTCACTCCCTGGTCACTCCCTGGCCACTCCATGGTCACTCCCTGTCCCCTCCCTGTCCCCGTGGTCACTCCCTGGTCACTCCCTGGCCACTCCATGGTCACTCCCTGTCCCCTCCCTGTCCCCGTGGTCACTCCCTGGTCACTCCCTGGCCACTCCATGGTCACTCCCTGTCCCCTCCCTGTCCCCGTGGTCACTCCCTGGTCACTCCCTGGCCACTCCATGGTCACTCCCTGTCCCCTCCCTGTCCCCGTGGTCACTCCCTGGTCACTCCCTGGCCACTCCATGGTCACTCCCTGTCCCCTCCCTGTCCCCGTGGTCACTCCCTGGTCACTCCCTGGCCACTCCATGGTCACTCCCTGTCCCCTCCCTGTCCCCGTGGTCACTCCCTGGTCACTCCCTGGCCACTCCATGGTCACTCCCTGTCCCCTCCCTGTCCCCGTGGTCACTCCATGGTCACTCCATGGTCCATGGTCCCCTCCCTGTCCCCTCGGCCATCTCCTGGTCACTCCATGGTCATTTCCATGGTCTGTGGTCACTCCATGGTCACTCCCTGTCCCCCTGACCATCCCTGTGTCCCCTTGGTCACTCCATGGTCATCATCTCCATCTTCTCGTTCCCAGCGTGACCCGGCCGGGCCCGGCACCGCCCCAGGTACCAGGGACAGCGCGGTGTCACCGTCATCATCGTCATTGTCACCTCATTGTCACCTCCGTGTCACCTCATTGTCACCGTGACGTCACCGTCCTCATTGTCATCGTCACCTCATTGTCACCTCCGTGTCACCTCATTGTCATCGTCACCTCTGTGTCATTGTCACCTCCATGTCACCTCATTGTCATTGTCACCTCCGTGTCACCTCATTGTCACCTCATTGTCATCGTCATTGTCACCTCATTGTCATTGTCATTGTCACTGCGGTGTCACTGTCATCATCGTCACCTCATTGTCACCTCTGTCATTGTCACCTCATCGTCATTGTCATTGTCATTGTCACCGCGGTGTCACCATCATCATTGTCATCGTCACCTCCGTGTCACTGTCACCTCCATGTCACCTCATTGTCACCTCATTGTCACCTCCGTGTC